GAACAAACTTGGTAGACACCCATTTAGAACATGTTTCATGCTTAATATCTTAGCTCTAGCTCTTTTGGGTTCTTTAAAAAGAAGATTTTTTAAGTTTTTACTATATGCATATAGGGAAAATCAATGACCCCCCCGGGCGGGGCCATTTTTTTGACCCAAAGGGCTTTTATATTGAACAAACTTGGTAGACACTCACTAAAAGATGTTTCATGCCAAATATCTAAGCTCTAGCTCTTTGAGTTCTTTAAAAAGAAGGTTTTTTTAAGTTTTTACTATATGCATATAGGGGAAAATCAATGACCCCCGGGGCGGGGCCAATTTTGACCCCAGGGCTTTTATTTGAACAAACTTGGTAGACACCAATTAGAACATGTTTCATGGCTAAATATCTTAGCTCTAGCTCTTTTGGTTCTTTAAAGAAGATTTTTTCAAGTTTTTACTATATGCATATAGGGAAAATCAATGACCCCCCCCCCCCGGGGCGGGCCAATTTTGACCCCAGGGCTTTTATTTGAACAAACTTGGTAGACACTCACTAGATGATGTTTCATGCCAAATATCTAAGCTCTAGCTCTTATGGTTTTTTAAAAGTAGATATTTAAAGTTTTTTCTTTCGGTTGCCATGGCAACCAGAGTTTTGCATGGAATTAAATTCTTTGAACAATTTTTAAAGGTGACCACCAAAGGAACATTCCTGTGAAGTTTGGATGAAATTGGCTTAGTGGTTTATGAGGAGATGTTATTTAAAGTAAAAGTTTACGGACGGACGGACGCCGGACGGATGCCGGACGAAAAGCGATCACAAAAGCTCACCCTGTCACTTTGTGACAGGTGAGCTAAAAATAGAATTGCCTCGACTAGGATTTGAACCATAGGCCTCTCACACCCTCAACGAGACCGCTTACCTCTGCACCACGGCGAAGTTATACATATGAACCTTGAATAAAAAACGAATACATTATGTAATTCTAAATTGAGAATTTCCATTTCGTGTTTGTAATCCTTATTAATTTCGAGGTATTTTGTTCACGATAAACGTGTTGTTTAAACACTGATGAAAATAATTTATCGAAATCTTCTCGCCAAAACAGTCCGACATGTATATATTCCACTACTCGGACAGTCAGATTTATTTGTGTACTACGCTCTGGAGTATTCGGTAATCGGCATAGCTAAAAATAGCATTTTCAATTGATTTAAATGATATTCATGATAATCCGAAGCTTTACGGAAATAGCCGAACATTTTTCATTGGGTAAAAAAGATATTCATCCGCGAAATTTGTGATTGTAACCTCATATTTCTATTGACTAATCTAAACTTTTAATGCACTGTAATTCGTTAAATGCCTACATTAAAAATTATTTTTTCTTTTAAATTGCTGGTTTTTAAGCAGTTTTGAGTGAGAACTACTTTGTGTTGTTAGGACTGTTAGGAAATTTTGTGTTAGACCGTGGATGTTAGCTATGTATTTACTGATCTTTCGATCAGAAAATACAAAAATCAACAAAGGGCCTGTATTCACAAAATTTCTACATAGTATATAGTGAAAAAATCAACAAAGGGCCATAATTCTGTTAAATTTGGTCACAGCAAAAATTCCTTCCTTAACTACCTTCTACACATTTAGGTTGTTCATCCCTGGAAGTTTAAGCAAAATCTGCCATTCGGTTTAAGACGAGTTGCGTTCACAAAATTTCTACATAGTATATAGTAAAAAAAAACAAAAACAAGGGGCCAAAATTCTGTTAAATTTGGTCGCAGCAAAAATTCCTTCCTTTACTGCCATCTACACATTAAGGTTGTTTATTCCTGGAAGTTTAAGCAAAATCTGCCATCCGGTTTAAGAGGAGTTGCGTTCACAAAATTTCTACATAGTATATAGTGAAAAAATCAACAAAGGGCCATAATTCTGTTAAATTTGGTCGCAGCAAAAATTCCTTCCTTTACTACATTGTTCATCCCTGGAAGTTTAAGCAAAATCTGCCATCCGGTTTAAGAGGAGTTGCGTTCACAAGATTTCGGGACAGACGGACAGACAAGTGCAAAAATGTTGCCTGCACATTAGATTTAGAAGCAACTTGTCCTGCAGGACGAGTGACTCTGAAAATATTTTTCTATGCCTGGTACCAAAAACATAATCAAACCAATCACCCTTTTTAGGTGTTATTACATTTATTCTATTATCCAACAAAATGTCTACTGTCCATACAATCCATACACATCTTGCACATGAATTTTGGTATATAAAGATCCTCACAAACAATAATCATTGTTCCATATTGAAAACCTAAAAAAAAAAACAACAGAAGCTTGCATGTGATACCTTGTTTTATTGCCATGTATGACAATGTGATATATTTTATGTGACATAAAGAATTCATGCATGGCAATATGATATTTTTTATGTGACAAAATGAATTCATGAATGACAATGTGATATAGTTTATGTGACAAAAAGAATTCATGCACGGCAATATGATATTTTTATGTGACAAAAAGAATTCATGAATGACAATGTGATACATTTTGTGACAAAAAAAATCAACAAATTTTAACAGTATAACAATATAAGCACCAATTGAAATAAATTAATAACCTTTAAAAATATACAACTTTTTTCACCCCATCCATACTGTGACCTTTATATATACTTACGTTATATATTGTCAAATGACATACATTTAAATTTACAACTACAACTACCCTACACAATAATTGTCATCCTATCCCATAACAATTTTACAATTTTTAATGCAGCATACCTCCAGATTTATGCTATTTGAAAATGTATTTAAAAGTAAAATATTGTGAAGTGAACTAAGAATGTTATTTACACATTGCAAACGACCAAAAGGAGGGACTATGTGTCAATGCTGTATGCCAAATATCAAGGGACTGTGATAAGTAGTTGCTGAGAAAAAAATCAATGTTACGAAAAATTTCCTACCATTGACCATTAATGTTGAAAATTTAACTAAGTCAGTAAACAAGAAGTGGATGAGCGACAGACCTGAAATTGAATCCGACAGTATGAGGCTACATGTTTATGATGTATACCAAATATCAAGAGGCTGTAGTAAGTAGTTGCTGAGAAAACTCTTAAGAAAAGTTTTGCACCTGAGCAACCTGGCCTAAATTCGGTAATTAGTCGCACATTGCATGTAAATTAATGCTTGATTCTAGAATCTTTTTACTTTTAATAAATCTTCAACATTTGATGTTCTTGAAATATTTTGGCTCATCTGGAGATATGGAGCTTAAACTACATAATTGCCAAGAATAATGAACAATGCATTAAATACAAAAGGAAATAAATAAAAGTGAAACTACCAATTGATGATTTCCGAAAATACATGGTGATTGAACACAATTATTTCAATATGTTCTTATAATCATTATGTATATTCAATGCTTATTTTTCAATTATCAATGTCATTGTCTAGCTTTTCATTTAATTCTTATTCATCCAAGTTTGAAAAGTCCAGTAAAAATAGAACTTGTAAACACTACAAAAAGCAAGAACACATAATTCTGATCAAACTGTCTTTTTACAAAAACAGTTTTCAATTGGCAAGGATTTTACATAGTTTGACGATTACTGCAAGGTTTCACTTCATCTTTCTTTTCATCAACTAAATCTTTGATTTGACTTCCTGCCTCTGTTACTAATGCAGTTGTTCCTGTCACGACAGTAAAAATACCTGCATTAGCAGCAGCACCTATTCCCGCAGCACCTGCAGACTGTAGTACTGCCACAACACCTAAGAAATAACAATGGAATAGTAGTGAATCATACCTCAAATTTTTTTCATTAATATACTGATTAATAAATTAATTCTTTAAGTGAACAGTTGGAAAAAAATCTATTTACACAATTATAATCATATCCTTGGTGACCATTATCTTAATATTAATGCCATCAAATACAGCACATTTAATGGTTACAAAATGTATGATTTACCTATACAATGGCTAAAGAAATGTAAGTGAATATTAACAGTAAATTGGAATTGACCTTTTAAGTACAGGCCAATTTAATTAAACCCAATGGCTGTTTGTAACTTGAAGTTGAACAAGGAAATTTGTTGAATTTATCAGAGACATAGATAACAGAGATTATTAGGCAACTTACTAGCCAGCTAAGATATCATGCGTGCCTGCTTAACTTAAAACTTGAAGCAAGTAAAACTTATTATCAGTAAAATAATACATTTTCTGAACGCTTATGCATTTGTCTATGGCTGGTAAAAATATTTACAGTTCTTATTAATATTTAACCCATTACTTCATGAGCATTTTGTGAAAAATGGCTGTTTTCATTGAAAAGTCTCCCATAACAAGTTCAAATTGCTATAAAACTATAAAAACTGCTTCAATACTAATCAAACTTGGCACGAATGTTGACTGGACCATTGCCTTTGCAACAACATGCTCAGGCTTAAATTTCCTGTTACCATGGCAACGAGGGGACATCTCAAAATTGCCAAAAATCACTATTTTCCATTGATTTTTTCCATCAAAATTGATTTCAAAGTACTGCAACTTCTCAATTGATTGAGATAGAGTCAAATGCTTTTCAGCGTTGGTTACACGTTACCTTATGATCGATCTGGGGTCATTTTTAGCCTCTCACAAGTTCAAAATTTTCTAGGCGATGAGGGGGACTCCGCCCCCTTCAAAACCCCCAAACAGAAGGGGGCACATCCCTGTTCTGGAAAACCCCTGATGTATCTTTTGATTCGGGGCCGCGCCGAAAAAGTGGTCACTTTTTTAAACAACAGATCTCAAACCAAAACAAGTGATACTAATAGCTCACCTGGGCCTAAATAAGGCATTTTTTCACCGTTTGAGACAACAAAAAAGGAGGGGGGGGTGAAAAAGGCGTGTATATCACGTAATGGGTTAACAAAAAATGATGAAAATACTTGAATTTACCCAAAATCTCGTTTTTCCATGTTTAAACATGGCCTAACATAGATTAGATGAAAAATTGTTGTTTTGTAGATTTTTTTCACAAAAAATGTTTAAATTCTTGAAATTACCCAAAATCACGTTTTACAATGTTTAAACATGGCCTAAAAATTATAGATTTGAAGAAAAATTGTTGTTTTGTAGATTTTTTGATTTTTTTCATTAACAAAAAATGATGAAAATACTTGAAATTACCCAAAATCGCGATTTTCCATGTTTAAACATGGCCTAACATATAGATTTAAAGAAAAATTGTTGTCTTGTAGATTTTTTTATTTTTTTCATTAACCCATTACTTCATGAGCATTTTGTGAAAAATGGCTGTTTTCATTGAAAAGTCTCCCGTTACAAGTTCAAATTGCTATAAAACTATAAAAACTACTTCAATAATAATCAAACTTGGCAGGAATGCAATGACTGGTCCATTGCCTTTGCAACAACATGCTCAGACTTAAATTTCCTGTTACCATGGCAACTTCTCAATTGATTGAGATAGAGTCAAATGCTCTTCAGTGTTGGTTACACATTACCTTATGATCGATCTGGGGTCATTTTTAGCCTCTCACAAGTCCAAAATTTTTTTGGCGATGAGGGGGCCTTCCGCCCCCTTTAACCCCCCCCCCAAACAGAAGGGGGCACATCCCCCTTCGAGCAACCCCCTGATGTATCCTTTGGTTGTTAGGGGCACGCTGAGAAAGTGGTCACTTTTTTGAACAACATTTCTCAAACCAAAACAAGTGTTGGGGGCCTAAATAAGGCATTTTTTCACCATTTGAGACAACAAAATAAGAGGGCCATGATGGTCCTGAGTCGCTCACCAGAAACAACTGCTTTTCAGAGTTGGAAATTATCCATTGTAAATATTTTCTGATATTAAATTTGAGCATAGAATATGTTTAAACAATAGTTTGAAGAAATGCCATGACCTGGGGCATTTAAGCTTTAGCTTAAACGGCGCCAATCAAATTAATATGAGCAAACTTGATAAAAGACTACCTAATCATGCTACAAAGTTTGGTGATCATCTATCAATTATTTCAGTAGGAAATGTTCAAAGGTTTTTCTATTTTTGGCTTTAATGGCCCCTTAAAGTAGCCAATCAAATTAATATGAGCAAACTTGATAAAAGCGTACCTAAGAATGCTACAGATAAAGTTTGGTAATCATCCATCAATTAGTTCTGTAGAAATAGACATTTAAAGGTATTTCTATTTTTAGCTCTAGAGACCCCTAAATAGGGGCCAATCAAATTAATATGATCAAAATTGATAAAAGACTACACAAGAATGCTACAGACAAAATTTGGTGATCATTCATCAATTAGTTCTATAGAAGAAGATGTTTAAAGGTTTTTCTATTTTTAGCTCTAGAGACCCCTAAAAGGGGCCAATCAAATTAATATGATCAATCTTGATAAAGGACTGCCCAAGTATGCTACAGACAAAGTTTGGTGATCATCCATTAATTAGTTCTGTAGAAATAGACGTTTAAATGTACAGTCAAGACTGTCATATGTGACTTTCCAAGGGACTCTCAGAAAAAGGTCACATATGACAAGGAGTCTCTTAATACAGTCTCAAAGAAAATTAAAATACATAACTGTGTGAAGAAATAATATGTAACCAATTGTAAATAAACATATGTTCTTTAAATACTTGATGTAAATAAAATGAGAATCCCTGTTGAACAAATATAATTAATTGCATGTATATCATTTAAAAATAATTTTCATTTTATATTAGATTTATATTGAATCATTTTAGTACAAATAAACTTGTATCTGATGCATTCAAAATCCTTAAAATAAATATCATACTTTAAGACATATTCATATCCAAAGTTTTTTCTCTTTAAATGGAAAGTAGATCTATCAACATTTTCACGTATAATTCATGTAGCCATAGAAAGGTGAAATAAAACTAGAAATGTGTCATCATGCCACGGATGCCCCCGCATGCAGCCAAAATTTCAGTTGTTATTATATTTAGTTCCAAATTTGTTTGCACAAATTATTGTTTTCATTTAAAGTTCAAAGCCCTTAAAACTTTTCAATGTTAACACAAACCATTTCCATACAATGTTCAAGGCACTGAAATTATTCAGTCTTAACCTTTTGAAAATAGCATATTTCATATTTGTAGCCAAAATAATGGCTACATACATTTCCACAAAAGTATGAGTGCTGAAACTGAAAGTTCAAAATTTTTCCAATATTCAAGAAAGATAAGTTTGTCCAAAATCATTGAACCACGACCAAATTCAAACTTAAACTGCTTATTCCTAAGATGTATCTATATTATTTTCAAAGTGAAAGGGACATAACTCTGCCAAAAATCATGGAACCATGACCAAATTCCAACTTGACCTGCCCATTCCTTTGACATATCCATATGTCAAATTTGAGTTGAATATGTAACACTGCTGGGTAGATAATGAACAGAAACTGTAAATTTCATATTAATTTCAAAGTGAAAGGGGCATTTCTCTGCCAAAAATCATTGAACAATAAACAATTTCCATCCGGGCCTGGGCATTCCAAAAACATATCCATATGTCAAATTTGAGTTGAATGTGTTGTACTGTTGGGGAGATAATAAACAGAAACTGAAAATTTCATATTATTTTCAAAGTAAAAGGAGCATAACTCTGCCAAAAATCATGGAATCATGACCAAATTCGAACTTGACCTGTATTTTCTAATGACATATCCATATGTCAAATTTGAGTTGAAAATGTTGTACTGTTGGGGAGATAATGAACGGAAACTGAAAATTTCATATTATTTTCAAAGTAAAAGGGGCATAACCCTGCCAAAAATCATCGAACCATGACAAAATTCGAACTTGACCTGTATTTTCTAATGACATATCCATATGTCAAATTTGAGTTGAATGTGTTGTACCGTTGTGGAGATAATGAACGGAAACTGAAAATTTCATATTATTTTCAAAGTAAAAGGGGCATTACTCTATCAAAAATTATCGAACCATGACCAAATTCAAACTTGACCTGTATTTTCTCATGACATATCCATATGTCAAATTTGAGTTGAATATGTGAAACCGTTACTAAGATAATGAACGGAAACTGATGATGACGGAATGACAGAATGACGGAAGGACGGAACAGGGTAACACTATATGCCCCGGCCATTACATGGCGGGGGCATAAAAATGCTGCCTAAAAATCTTCCATTGGCATTACATAAACAGTAAAGAAATCTGACACTAAATCTTAATCCAGTTTGCTCAGGTCATTATGTACTTCACACCTTAATTTGTTAACACACATCGATTGCATCATGCTTACCATATTCTACGTCACTTGATACCTGTATATGTACATGTAAACTGTCTATTGATGCAATGTTGAGTAGAGGTTGTTTGAAGTGTACTGACTACTGGATAATAATTGGACTGAATTATTTTGGCCCTCTGGGTGTTAAAACAGGTATTATTTATCTGATAAACGGACAATTAAAAGGTGTGAAAGTCGTTTAAATCAGACAAAGCAATGCATTGGGACCAGACAATTTAGGGTCGCTTGTCACATATGACAGGGAGTCGTATAATTCAGACCATTTATATAACTAAGGGAAATACGTTGGGACGACTGAAACAAGGTCGGATAAGACAGGGAGTGGTTGAAATCAGGGGGTCGCTAAGGCAGACTGGACTGTATTTCTATTTTAAGCTTTAGCTGCCCCTAAAAGGGGCCAATCACATTAATATGTCAGCAAACTTGATATCAGACTACGGCTGAATGCTACAGACAAAGTTTGGTGATCATCCATCAATTAGTTCTGTAGAAGAAGACATTTAAAAGGTTTTTCTATTTTTAGCCCTAGAGACCCCTAAAAGGGGCCAATCAAATTAATATGAGCAAATTAGATAAAAGACTACCCAAGAATGCTACAGACAAAGTTTGGTGATTATCCATCAATAAGTTCTGTAGTAGAAGATGTTTAAAATGTTTTTCTATTTTTAGCTCTTAATTGACCCCTAAAAGGGGCCAATTGAAATGACATAAACAAATTCAAGTGTGACTGTCACAAGGACCAAATTTGAAGTAAATCTGCCCAGCTGTTTCAGAGAAGAAGACGATTGTTGACGCATGATGACGGACACCAGAGTATCCCCCTTTGATACTAATAGCTCACCCTGAGCCTTCAGCTCTGGTGAGCTAAAGAGGGGAGATGAAAAAGACGTTAAAAGGTGTGTATATCTGTAATGGATTAAATATGATACATCAATTTTTAAAGAGAACTACTTAACAATTTTTGTTACAAAACAATTCATATGACCAAAAAAACTGGCTCAGTGGGTATATTCTGCTATGTTTTTCTAAGAGAAAGGCATGGAAAGTTACCAATATTTTAACATGAAGCAAAAGATAAAAGATATAACTTTCAAATTGTTTATAATATAAAAGGATCAAATGTACATCCATTAAGTTTTACTTGCTACAAAACGCCTAATTTTACACTTTTTGATAGGCAAACTTTTGTCCAAAGTCAAAAGCTCACCGGTAAGCACTGTGCTCAGATGGACTTAGGAACAGAACAAAAACCTATGCTTACCTCCAGCTGCAACGCTTCCACCATTTGCAATTGCAGCAGACGACATCATGCCAGCTGCTAAAGAACCACCAACAATGCCACCAGCACCGAACCCAACTGCAGCAAGAGCCAGTGGTGCTGCACAAACTGCAGTCACTCCTAATGCAGCACCTGGTAATATCCTCCTCCAGAAAAATTTCTTTACTGACTGTAAATGAACATAGTTATGTTTAATCAGTATTCTAGATATTTCAATAAAAAGACTATGATGGCCCTTATATCACTCACCTTAATATCAAGGCTCTTAATGATAAGGAACACTTATTATTGGTCACCATGAATGAAAAACAGATGTAATGCCATGAATGAAAAGCAGATGTAATGTCTTTATCTAAAACTGTAATCATGTTACGTTCATGTCTGCATCTGAAATAGTGCAAATGTAAGCAAAGTTTTTTTTCTTATTTAGGCTGTGTCACCTAGTTTTTGACCAAAAAACCCATATTTAAACTTGACCTAGATATCATTTAAACAACCTTCCTGACAAATTTCCAAGATATTTGGGCTGAAAATATTACATTTATAGTGTTAACAAGCTTTTTCCATATTTGGGCTCTGTGACCCATATTCATAGTTGAGCTAGAAGTCAATATAACAACCTTTCTGACCAATATCCAGGACATTTGACCTCTATACAGTGTTAACAAGGCTTTTCCATATTTCAGCTGCATGATCTAGTTTTTGATCCCAGATGACCTAAATAATATTCAAACTTGATGACAACCTTTTTTTCCAGGACATTTGGACCGAAACAGTTGCCTCTCGAGGTTAACAAGTTTTTTTTTGATATTTGGGCTTTGTTACTTAGTTTTGACCCCAGTCAGCTGAGGTGAGCTAAAAAGTTAAGATCAATATTAAAGTCTACGGATGGAAACCGAAACGGCAATGGGAACACTGAATTACTATACTTTTTTTTCTTCAAAAAAAGTCGAGGAAAAACTGTTACTCATTTTCAACATTCAAAACAACTAGAGCTATCACTAAAGGTGTTTCCTAATTAATTTTAAACAAATAAACTTAATATAATAAAGTCAATTTTTAATGGGCAAGATTGTTTTGTATGGACAACAACATATTTGTTTTCGAAATCGTGTAAATTACCTACTCAGTATTGGTTTTCCAAGGATTAAAATTTGAAGCCGCATCGCTTTCAAAATAATGAAAGCTTGTCAATGATTGGTTTTTTGAAAGTCAACGAGAAGGTGACTGCCTATGGGTGAAAGATATACCCTAATACAAATTAGATTGGATATTTGCCTTTTTTGGTATAAATATATTGTTGAGCTCTAACAGTCTAAACAATATCATGAAAACCAAGTAATCACTTACAGATTGCTCTTCAGTATGACTCTCCTCTTCTATCGTCTTCTGCTGTTTCTCTTCTGGTTCCATCACATCATCAGACATGTCATGATTTTCCTCTTCAGACACCTCCTCACTATCAGAATCATGTTTGACCTCCTCAGATGATTTTAGAAAATCCTCTTGTTTTTCTGTCATTTTTTTTCTTTCTTTTTCCTATATTAAAATACTCAAGAAGTTTTTATATACATATACAGTAAATTCTTTTGACTGTAATTTATTAAACTCTTAAAGATCCTGTATGTTGTGATCAAAGTGGTAAACCACACTAAGTGAGATTATATATATGTACATAATTATGCAAATAAAACAATTTTCAAACATCAAAGAATATGTAAAATATGTACTGCAAATATTTGTGCATATTATATTTAATCATAAGAATTTATGCATTCATTTCTTATTGTAAAATTTGACTTTGTTTGTTTTGGGTTTTACATCACATCAACACAATATAGGTCATATCGAGACGTTCCAGCTTTACTGGTGGAGGAAGACCTCAGGTGCCCTTCAGTGCATTATTTCAAACACGAACGGGCACCTGAGTGAAACCACCGACGTTCCGCAAAATTTTACTTAAAATTTATAAAAAATAAATTATTTATTACCTCCCTTTATTTACATGAAATGTTAAATTCGGTAATATCTTTATAAATAATGCTTTTTGGAACCTACAATATTGATAAATCTTAATTTGAGCATCATTTTTATGATTTAAAACCATAAAAAAATTGTGTTACATGATCTTTAAGAACAAGAGCTCTGCTGAGGCATTGGGCAACATATACACCCTGAATAATAAATTTAAACAAGAGCCATGTCAACATAGCCATCCCCCGCCGAATGTGTTTGCTCATAGGAAGAATGTATATGTAGTACAGCAGAATAATTCCATTTTAAGAGGTCTTTTGGAAATGAAAACTGATGGCTATAGTGATTACAGATTTGAAACCTATGTGAATACTGATGGCTGAAAATAACAAATGGCAATAACTGCAAAATAATGCAGGGTAGGTTATCATTCTTGTGTGATGCACCCCTCCTCAGTAAAATCTATCCACCTATGAAGTTTCAAGTTGATACCTCAAATACTTTTTGAGAAAAAAATTGAATTGAAAAATTAAGTATGAAAAATAACAAAGGGCAATAACTCAAAAATTATAAAGGGTAGAGTTATCATTCTTGTGCACTGCACACCTCCTGAGTTAGATCTATGCACCTATGAAGTTTCATAATGATATCTCAAAGGCCTTTTGGAGTTATGCTCTGGACAAAAATCAATTTTGAAAAATAACAAAGGGCAATAACTCAAAAATTATGCAGGGTAGAGTTATCATTCTTGTGCACTGCACTCCTCCTCAATGAGGTCTATCCACCTATGAAGTTTCAAGTTGATTATTCAAATACTTTTAGAGATATGCTCCGGACAAAAATGTCGGACGGAAGGTCGGACAGACGGACAGATACTATTTCTATATCCCCCGCCAAATTTTCGGCGGGGGATAACAAGAGCACCACTAGGCGGGGCATTATATGCCTGAAAGTACTTTTTCTGTGAGGATGAAGCATTTGTAAGACATGGGAATTAAAAACAGTGTTACCTCCTTCAAAAAGCAATCCTCCTTTATAGCTGAAGAACATTCATGTATATATACAGTTGCTGTTTTCAAAGCACCACCATCAAGTTGTTATCTTGTAAGTAAAAATGCTACAACGGATGGACGAAAAGACGTCAGGGGTATAAAGCTGTTAATCCTATAAAAGTTTACAGCTGTAGGTTGATTAATACTTGAGTTATTGAGCGAAAACTGTTTCCAGTTTAAAGGTGATAGTAACCTTGATCTTTGACCTTGTGACCCCAAAATCAATAGGGGTCTTCTACCCAATATGGACAATCATCCTATGAAGTTTGAATACTGTGGGCCAAATGGAACTTAAGTTATGCTCCGGAAACCATTTTCAGTATTAAGCTAATAGTGTCCTTGACCGTGTGACCCCAAAATCAATAGGGTTCTTCTACCCAATATGGACAATCGTCCTATGAAGTTTGAATACTGTGGGCCAAATGGAACTTAAGTTATGCTGCAGAAACCATTTTCAGTTATACAGTAATGGTGACCTTGACCTGTGACCGCGTGACCCAAAAATCAATAGGGATCTTCTACTCAAAATGGACAATCATCCTAATAAGTTTGAATACTGTTGACAAAAAGGAACTTAAGTTATGATGCGGAAAACATTTTCAGTTTAAGGGTAATAGTGACCTTGACCTTTGCCCTTGTGACCCCCAAAATCGGGGTCTTTCACCCAATATGGACAATCATCTTATGAAATTTGATAACTATGGGCCAAATGGAACTTAAGTTATGCTCCAGAAACCATTTTCAGTATTAAGCTAATAGTGACCTTGACCTTTGACCTTGTGACCCCAAAATCAATAGGGGTTTTCTACCCAATATGGACAATCATCCTATGAAGTTTGAATACTGTGGGCCAAATGGAACTTAAGTTATACTCTGGAAACCATTTTCAGTATTTAGCTAATAGTGACCTTGATCTTTGACCTTGTGACCCCAAAATCAATAGGGGTCTTCTACCCAATATGGTCAATAATCCTATGAAGTTTGAATACTGTTGGCCACTATCAAAAATGTTTTTGGCTTCAAGATATAGATATCAATTTGTGGTTGAAAATAGCACTTTAATATTAGCCAGGATTAGTTTTCAGCAATTGTTTGATCGAACTCACAAAACATTATCATATTATTTGATATTTGAATGGTGATGTATCATGCCAGATCACGGTCGGTAGATAACCTAACCACGTGACTCAACAGAGACATCTTATTTCGTAAAATTGGTCCAACTCCAATAGACTCTGATTATCTTTAATGTTTTAAATACTAAGATCACAAAGATACACAAATATATGTGGGGTTAAATAATGTGAACGCATACAAATTGTTGATAAAAATGTACAGTTGCCATGATCAACAGAAGACGATGGCACAATGACGAAATCACGATGCTACAATGGTAAAAACACGATGGTACGACGATGAAAATGAGATGGTATGATGGTAGAATTGCGATGGTACAATGGTGAAAGCGCGATGGTTACAACACTATAACATGATGATGGAAACACAATGGTATGATGGTGAAAGCTCAACAGCACGATGGTGAAAAGGCGATGGTACAATGGTGAAAAGGTGATGTCACTATGGTGAAAAGGCAATAACATGATGTGAAAGTGCGATGTTAAGATGGTGATAACGCAATGGTACGCTGGTGAAAACACAATGGAGCCATGGTGAGATGGTGATGGTACATTGGTTCACCATCATACTGTAACCGTTTTGCTTAGTTCAATTATCTCTATATAAATACTGTTACCAACTACATTTATAAACACAACATTTTCAAGTTCAATTCTGTTTTATTTGACATGAGTTTTACTAAGAAATTACTGATTTATAATAATACCAAATAAAATGTAATTCTAAAATATGAAATACTTAGAATCAAAATAATAATAAGTCAACAAAGCTTTTAAATTTATAATGGAAAAAAAAAGATAATTTTATAAAGAGACAGGTAGAAGTTACCTTATTGTCCGTGAACACAAGCAATGCTTAGATGGTCAAAAATCTCCCTTCCTTATATAGGCTGTCTAAAAATGAACTCACAAAAAATCTCATGCTAGATTATAGGGAAAATAGGGGTAGTTTCAATTTAATCAGTTACTTAAGAAAGCATTATCAATAAATAAGAAAAACCATGAAAGCGTAACATTTAATCATTAATCTTGAAATGACCAAAAATTTAAGAGGACCAATTTAACACTTGAAAAGTCATTGATTAAAGTGAATCTAAAATTTGTTTTACTGTAAACAGAATTTTAGAGAGAAATAAATTTAAAGAATAAAAGATAAATTAAATTGTTTTAGAAATAATCAAAATCTGCCTCAATACCATCGGGTTTTCATAAAAAATTGTACCATCGTGTTTTCACCATTGTACCATCGTGCATCGCGGGTACAGACTAAATAAAAAATCATGATTGTCAAAACGGAACACCATACATTAAAAGACCATAACAAATTGATTGTGAAACACATAAACTTCCTTGAGATCTTAATGCAAATTTTACAAAACTCTTCATTACTCTGTGCAAAACATCGATTTCAGTTCCAAAACTTTCCGTTGTTGACAAGTCAGATGAAAAAAGTATATATACTGTATACAATCAATGCGACAAGCACCTTTGTCCCTCCCCTCCCCTCCAATCCTATCCATATCTATCTTATCTATTCATCTAATCTAATCTAAAATATCTTATCTATCTTAAATAATCTAATCTAATCAAATCTAATTTAATCTTATCTATTTTTCTAATCTATAATCTATTCTAATCTAATCTAATCTATCAGTCAAACCCCTCATGGAGATGTAGACATGACTAGAATAGTCACTTCAGAAAAAGCTTTGCACAACAAATTGTGCGATTTAGGTCTTTTTATTATATAGACGATGGTGGCCCTTCGCGCACAACCCACTTATGATTCAAAGCAATAAAGACAGACATCTATGAAATATCAGATTATAAAATCGGTTGGTCTTGCAGTCGAAATATTTAAACTAGAAACAGCTATGAGAGGGAACCTGTCCCTATCTCTTATGAATAGACCCCTTGGTTCTTTTGTACATGCCCAGTGTATAGCACTGATACATGCGAGGGTAACCTAGATATCTGACCAGGACACCTCTAGTTCATACATGTGAACTCTCCCACTTGACTTAAAGCAGGAGACTACCACTTTCTGCAGCCTTATTTTCAAAGATTTTACTTAATTTCAGGGGTATTTTCACAAATTAAATAAATCTCCTAATTTTTGATGTCAGAATTTCCTTCCTTGTTTATCAGAAAAATCTCCCACTTGATCATCCAAAAAAGTTCACATGTACAGTATGCAAGTTAGGCATGTTAGGTGGGAAACACTGAAAGTGTCTCTGAAAAATCCCAAGGGTGTTACCCAGGATCGAACCTGAGACCTCAAGAGTCACAGCCAGTGGTCTAAGTTCTAACCAACTGAGCCTCCCCACCATTTAGCTTAAGGTCTTCAGCGTACCCGTTTAGGAATCCGGGTCAGCTCGGCCCTAAAACATACTCGGCCCCCGAGTCAGCTCGGCCATATTCCAACTCGACACGGGTCAACTCGGCCCACTTTTAAAAATGAGTAAAGGACATCAAAGGACTCCTATTGTCACGGGCTATTATTATCAATCAATGTGTATGTTAAATATACCGATTAATTAGGTGATAATTATGATTGACTTATTCATTCAAATTAGTGACCACCTGCAATTAATTAGAAGCCTATGCTATTAAGTAAACACGTTTTTGTTTCATATTTATTTTGAAAATTACTTTACAAACAAAATGCATCTAAGGAAACACATTTTTATTATATCTATATTCACAGGCACAAGTCGGACCTGGGAAGAAAAAATATGAAGTTATTTTATCAATCTGTTCATATTTTTTTCTTCCCAGGTTCGATAATCGTGCCTGTGTCTATATTAATTTTATCGAATCTGCAAGACAAATAAATAACTTTTTTTTCTAAATATACTTTATTTCAGCAGAGGTACAATGTATAATTATATAATAATAATAAGATATTTCTTATTATTCATTTACCTTAACAACATGCAAAGCAAAGTAAATACGTTATAGGCCTATATATTTTTGTAAAGTGGGCCGAGTTGACCCGTGCCGAGTTGGTATAGGGCCGAGTTGACACTTTTCCCCCGTTTAGATGTTTAGATGCCGCATCAGATGAAAAACAAAAATGTTAATTAGCGGCTTATAAAGTTTTGGAAGCCAGAACTAACCACCACTCAGCTTTCTTACCTGTTCAAATCAAAGCTAAGTTATTAAGCTTATAAATAGTCCACAGAACACTGAATGATCTAGCGTTACAGTACGTGGAATAATTTATAGCGCTACTCACAATATGATTTTCCGAAAATGGAAGTTTATTAAAGCCGGGTTCAACCCTCTACTATAATATAACTGTAAGCCGGGTTATAACTGTAAACCGGGTTCAACCCACTTACACCAGGACATAAGATAACTTATCTTATCTTATGTCCCAGCTACCACTTACAGAGCTACCTGCACTATTGATAAATGTATGCAGTATATTGACGCAAATATTTCACGTAAACGGTTTGACTCCGGACATAAAATGTCTAGATTTACCAAAGACCCTGGTTTTCAAAAAGCATGGCTGGTTTTACCCATTTTTTTTTTCCTACTTTCATTTTCGTTTCTCTCAATCGTAACATCTCGGCTTTTTTTAATAACGGGGGAAAGCCGAGAAGTTGCGACCGATGGTGTATGACTAAAATACGCAACTGACAATTATTTTTTAGCAACAGACGTATGTTTATTTATGTCAATAGTTAACATTTTAATATTTTCAAATATATCAAAAAAGATTAATTAAGTCATTGAGCTAAATATAAGTTAAAATAAAAGAAAAAATGCTATATACTGTACCACCTCATCAATACAACACTAAATAGTAGGAACAGAAGTAGATTTTTTGTATTTTTGTACTTGTAAGCGAACTTTGCCTTAATGCAGTAGTGTAGTGACTATATGTGTGTACAGTTAATTTATTTCTTAATTTTCTTTTCAATTTAGCTTTACCTATTTCTGAAAACATAAAATAACAAGGGGGCACTAAGAGCTCACATGATGACAGACCGTTATTTTTGTGAAAGCAGTGAACGCTAGTGTTTATTACAAGAATTTAAATAATGTAGATGAAACTTTGTGCAAAACGTATTTTTTGATAATACTATATATATATATATATATATATATATTATATTAATATATTATATATATATTATATATATATATTATCCATAATTATATAATAATATAATGCTACGTGGTCATAATTTTATTGCTGTTCATCTAAAACAAGAAAGAATGATCTAGATCTAGGTCATTTGATATCAAATTACAGTTCTACTTCTTAAATTGTGCACATGGTAAAATGTGATAGCTGTACATACAAAAAACAAAGGAGGTCAATTCCTCAAAATCTAGGTAAGCTGATACCAAAGTTAAAATTTACATCTTCAACTGTACACATGTTTTATTTTCATCACTGCACATCAATGGACAAGACAGAAGCGGCAGCTAGAAGGTCACTTTGTCAAATTATAGCCCTGGGGTCAAAATTTGCCCCACCGCGGTGGTCATTGGTTTTTAATATGTACATTTAGTAAAATCTTCCTTGTCTGAAGGTACAATTAAAGCTTATATTAAATATCTAGCTTAGACATTTGGTAAATAATATCATCGATATATAGGTCTATAAAATTATAGGGCTATTGTTTTTTAATTAGTTTTATTATCACAAACTACCATGTATGTGTACATTTCGACATTTACTCAAACAATCTTAATTTTTGAAATTCTTGTTTTATTATCGATAAATGCTAATTTTGAACTCCGTTGCGCCAAAAATTCTCCATTGCATAATTTAGTCATACTCCAAGAAAGCTACAACACTGAAAATGCATGAACACCGGTGATTCCGAAATAGTTATTTTTAGAGATCGGTGACTCCGAATATTTATTTTTAGAAATATGACTACCCAGTATTTTCACACATCCATATATGGATAAGGATATCACTGACGTACCAAATTCTAGACTGATACACCGCCATTACAGGCCTGCTTCATAATTTCTCCGGCTAAAAACACAAAACTCGTCCAAACACGGAAGTGGCATGACTAGATAACTATTTCAATTTTTAGTGGTACTGGCAGTATACTTCGACAGTTTAGCAGATCAACATGCAGGTAGGCTTTTATTTGATGGCTTTGATTTTCACAAGAATAAAAGAAGGCTGGAATTTAGAATCTTTCTCAACAGTATTTAAAGCTCTAGATTCATCATGTCAAAATCATGTTTTCTAGGAGTATAGTGGGGTCCCATGTATACTGGTCTTTTCGTGGTACCCAGTATATATTCCTTATTTACCACTGATGTGTGAAGAAAAAGTTATGCATACCTATAAATATGACGTCGCTTTGTGATATTTTTGCTTCTGGGCAAAGCAACCTGACCGACATAAAACATAACAAGCCTGTAACGTCTAATTTAATGGACTAAGCCCTAGACCAACTTATACATATAAGACTCGAGATAATTTTTGCCAGGCGATATCCTTTTCCAACGGTTTGACTGTATGAAGAAAACAGTTTGTAAAAATGAGTCAAACCGTTAACGCTGAATCATAGCTAAAGAGAATTGAGCAAACAGGTTTTATAGTACTGCTAGACCTGTGACTGTTGCAATGTCAAAATAAAAGCTCACTGATTTTTCTCACTTTCTTGGGAAGAGGCCTTAGCCTCTTGATTTTGGGAAAAATTATTGCTAAAATTGCTGATTTGGGAAGTTAAAAAGCTGGTTTAAGTTAAGATTTTTGGGAAAACTGCATGAAGTTAACGAAAATTTCAATTGGGAAGAGGCCTTTTTTTGGAGTCTGTTTATAAGTAGAAAAATCTCTGAAGCTATATCCACACACTGCTAGTTTTC